GACATCCACAGTTGTGGTCCAGAATGAGCAAGAGAAGAGAGAGAGCGCTGCTGATCAGCAGTTGGGCTCTGGCACTGCTTTTCTCTTGTCCTGGTGTACTTACACAAGAGATCGTTCAAGGTGAATCCAAAATGGAGTGTGAAAGAATCCTGGAATCAGAAGCCAGACTTATTGTTGCTCTACTGGAGTCACTGCTTGGATTTTTTCTTCCTTTCACAATAATGTTGACTTCATATTATTGCTTATACAAAACAGCCACACAGGGAGCATTCAGACACAGACACAGACCGACTAAACTTGTCACACGGATTGTCGTAGTTTTCTTCATTTTTTGGGCTCCTCACCAAATAATAAAATTAGAGGAAATTTGTGCAGCATTTTTAGGATCAGAGCCAGTTCTATCTTCCATCGGTGACATTGCTGGAAGTCTTACATTCATCAACAGTTGTGTGAATCCATTCCTCTATGCGTTTTCCTCAAAGAGTTTACATAAACGCAAACAGCCAGTGGAACCTGAGGTAACTAAAGGCTCACAATATTTTGAGAGGGATCATTCCATAGCTGTGAGCAGCTCACTAGTAAAGCCTAACACCTTGGACTAAAGAATTATGACATATCAACATATGCAGTAGAAACTGGACCATGATAGAAGCACCTTTTAAAAAATACATTTGGATGAATTTCAGATAACTAAATACGTAGCACTTTTGAAAGATAATTTGATGAGTTTATTAATGTATCTCTGATGCAGTGAGAAGAGATCCAGGCAAAGTCTGTCCGTAAAATTATATTTTATTAAAATCAATGATTACAGATGTAAAATATGAAAATTAAAAATGGACAATATCCAAACTGAATATATTCTGCTGAAATTCTAAGAGAATAGACTAAAGTCTGAGTATAGTAATCTTCAAGAGCTAAAGAGATGAAGATCTTCAAAGCATGCAATAAGAGAAAAAGGTAAAGAAGCCAATGTTAGGAGCAATATACAGTATAGACTAGAGACTTACATCCTCTTACAGCATCATGGAATGTTTATGTCTGATTGATAAAATGTCAAATGTATTTCATTATCTACGTGTTGTCAAATATTCCCCCTACCTAAGGTGAATTTAGTTCAGGACTAGGTCATCTACTAGGTAGAAGTACGATACAAATGGAGACATGGGTTGCAGTTTTACATCCTTCTAGCAGAAACAACAGAGTTAAGCAATCTTCTTGCAAATACCAACTCTTGGGAAATAACTTCTAGTATCAAAATAAATAAATAAATTAGCAAACATCCTTGCACATAAATATTTTTGCAGAGAGTAAGTTTCCAACATCCTGTCCAAACATCACTTAAGCATAACGAAATGTACCTATATGTCAATTGAAGGAAATATACTACATCAATTGAATATGTGTACACCTAGAATTATGAATATAAATGCATAATACTTGAGTAACTGAGTATATGAGTAACATAATACAGTAATATGAATATAATGTAATAAAACCATAAAAGAATAAATCATAATGAATATACTGTATGAATGAATATGAAAAATAAGAAAACATAACCATATTGGAAATTCTGATACACCAATCCCTAATTGCATCTAATCACCACTGTAATGCAAAATCGATTATCTTTATGAATTACATTATCAATTTGAACTACAGTGCATAAATGAAAGTAATGTTTAGATGCATGATATTTTTGTTATTCATCAATCATTTTGTCACCTTTTAAGTATTATAATTTCAAGATGCTTCTTTATTTTAAAATGCATTGTTTTGTGATTTGATGCATCAGTCATTAAGCACTTGTTGTGTGAACTGTTTTTAAGGACTGAAAGGGCTGTATAGGTATTTGCTGCTTCCATTTAGTACTGTACAAGCTAATGACAGTACAGTAGCTTGCTCTTCTGTATGCCATGTGTGCAATAATGTTGAAAAAAGTACCTATTAATTATCTATTATTATAAAGAACACTATTTTAAAAACAGCTGACCTGTTGTCATGAGTACAACAGTATCAGCTGAGTTGCTGTTTCTGTATGTTTTTATATGTTGTTCCTGTTTCCAATCAGACCACATGTATTTCTCAGAAGACAGTGAATAAGACTGATATGGTTTTAGATTATTAATAAAAGTCTTCACATTCTTTGAAAAACCGTTTTGTTTTTTTATTCCCAGTTCTCTGAAACTCTTCCTCCTACCTTTTGTCAGAAGTCTCTGAAATCTAAATGGACAACAGCCAAAAAGCATGGGGAATAGTTTATAAAAGAAAAATCCATATGAAAACCATCTCCTGAGGATAGAAACATATCTGAGAAGGGTTTGGGACTCAGAATTGCATAGCTGTGTAGTTGTAATCGAAGTGATTTCCACAGCAAATGCAAATTGATTTTTAGGTCAAATTAAAGAGGTGTCACAGATTCTTTGTTTATAATGAGGATTCATTGCAGCACTGGTAAAAGTTATTCATGAAGTAGTGGGAAAACATACTGCAAAATAAAACTTAGATACACTACATTACAGAAGTTTTCTATTTTAAATAAATACTGTTCTTTTCATCAAATAATCCTGAAAGAATCACTGTATCCACAAAAACATTATGCAGCACAAAATATGATTTGATTGATTTGAGATTTATTGCCACAGGTACATTACAGTACAGGTACAGTACATTGGAATTCTTGTGCGCAAAAGTAAGGAGCAATAAACTTTCTAAAAAAAAATTAGTAAAGTGAATAAGTGAATAAGTTAAGAAAGAAAGACTGATAAGAAATGTTTCTTCACTCTTAAAAATAAAGGTGCTTCACGATGCCATAGAAGAACCTTTTTTGTCTAAATGGTTCCATAAAGAACCTTTAAAGGGGTCATATGATGCGATTTCAATTTTTCCTTTCTCTTTGGAGTGTTACAAGCTCTTGGTGCATAAAGAAGATCTGTAAAGTTGCAAAGACTAAAGTCTCAAATCCAAAGAGATATTCTTTATAAAAGTTAAGAGTTAACCACACCTACCTAAAACGGCTCGTTCTAACACGCCCCCACATATCTACCTCACTATGTGGGAAGATTTGCATAACGCCGCCCAAATGTTCACGCAAAGAAAGAAGGCGTAACTTTTATTCTCGCTGTAGTATTGTTGCCGTCGCCATGTCGTGAAGAGCTGAGTGTTTCGTTGTGAAAGCGAAACTACTTTGTTTGGTCTTCCAAAAGAGGACGGTATCCGCTTCGTCATGCCTAGAGCTGATCCGTGCTGGTCGCTGAGGGAATACATCAACTTAGTGCTGTGGATCGCCGGATCGGCTTTCACCGTGGACGAAGCGGAGTCCAGTCCGGGGTCGTCACATGTGGTTGCCGCTCCTTCGTCGAATCCGCTGGCCACGCCATTCTCAAGCCCGCGCCTCTGCTCACGCTAGGCCGTGGCTTCCGCTCACAACATCCACACAAGGACAGTAAAACCTGAAATATCCTACATTGAAAACTTCATTGAACATTGTCTTAATTCAATCTTAAACTGCAAATATTAAAAAGAAAAAAAAATCTGTGAGCATTAGGGTGATAAGGGATAAAAAACTTAATTAGCTCAGTGTAGAAGTAATAGATGTCAGCTGAAGCAAACATATTTCTGTATGTGTGTGTGTACACTCTTAAAAATAAAGGTGCTTCATGATGCCATAGAAGAACCTTTTTTGTCTAAATGGTTCCATAAAGAACCTTTAATATCTGAAGAACCTTTCTGTTTCACAAAAGGTTCTTTGTGGCGAAAGAAGGTTCTTCAGATTATAAAAAGGTAAGAAAGAGATGGTTCTTTAAAGAACCTTTGACTGAATTGTTCTTTGTAGGACCAAAAATGGTTCTTCTATGACATCGCTGTGAAGAACCTTTTAAGCACCTTTATTTTTAAGAGTGCTGAGCATGAAATCATCATATTAGAATGATTTCTGAGGGGGTCATGTGACATGGTAGACTGGAGTAATGACTCCTGAAAAATTAGCTTTGCCATCAGGAATAAATTACTTGTTTTAAAATAAATTCAAATAGGAAAGTATTTCATAAGTATTCCATATTTCACAATATTACTGTTTTGAACGCTAGAGTATGGCACTTTCAGACATAGAGTAAATATCATTAATAACCATGCAATTTCCATCAGATACTTAAGAGCTGCTCAAAGCCAGCTCAATGCATGTCAATGTGATGCAAAGATTAAGAATTACAATGTGTCCTTTTCACTCATATCACCTACCCAAAGGTGACCCTCATGTGGACTAATAGGAGACAACTGAAGACGGACCTGTCAGACCGCACTCAGCTGCACACACAGTGACTTTAAGGGGCCTGTTAACTTTTATGAGGGTTTTAAAACCGTTTTATTGCTTTTCTCAAGTGGATGGCTTGATTTATAATATGACCGTGCAGAAGTGTACATTCATTTGGATAGGTACTGTAAAAAAAAAAAAATGCAGCAAGACTAAAGGAAGTGCATTACATTCTTCAAAAGTGCCAACCTTCTTATAGATGGAGCCATTTTTTAAATGGTCTGCTGAAATCAGCAAAACAAGCTTCCCATACTTGCATATGATAGATTTTGGCTTAAGAACTTGTAATTTCGCCCTTAAACACCAGTGTGTAATCTTGTTTCCATCCATTCAAAGCTTCTATTAGGCCTCAGGGGCAGATACAGATTCTTCAGTCTCTCAGTCTGGTCTCTGTGTTCAATATATTGTGAGTTTGGGACTCATTCCTCTGCTGAGACCTCTGATCGCTCTGACATACACTAAGCGGAGGCTGATGGCAGTGGACGGCATGATAAATAAGGATCTTGGTCCAAACACCCACTCACTCGGATAAACAAGATTTCTGCTTAGCTTTTTCTCTGGGATGTACCCTAATAACTATCTATCACATCTTTTATGTTTCTGTCAAAAGGTTTGAGGTTTTCAATGCAGTTGACAGAGAGAAAAGGGCAGAAAATTGCAATTAAGTTAAAACAAGGACAGTTTATTTTTCAATATATATTTTTCTTCAGTACTAATGGACTGAACATACTGTTTAAGAACATGGTGAAAACATGAAAACATGTTTTCATACCATTCAAACATACATAAAGGCAAGTGCTACATGATACATTAACTAGTAGTCAAAAGCTCTGAAGTAAACTGACAAAAGGTTCAAAATGAAAAACAAACTACATTAAGTGAAGATCAACTTGCACACTACATAACAATCAATGCTTGCAAAATAAAAACACTTGCAAAACAGCTTCTAGCTTCGCATTTAAGTTCATAACCGACAAAATCTACAACACTCTATTCGACCACATCCTGAAATAATGACATGCAGTTAGTTCAGTACCTTACTGGATGATGTTAGGGGATTTTGACCTTAAATTAATCATTTAAAATGAGGCACGTGGTTCAAGTTTAATGGTTCTTGCTCAGTAAGCTGTGGTAGGTAAACTGGTTTTTTTTAAATAGCTGCAAATGTGAGCAAGGTCCTGAAAGAATTTTTTTTTATTATTTATATGCTATATAATATATTCCAGACAAAAACAATCCTATGTTAGCATGACTGGGCTTGTATGGCAGTCTAAGTAAGGTTGACAGGAGTGTGTGGTGCGTTAGCTGACAGAACACGGGTCATCTTTACTGGGCTTCACCTCTCCCTGCAGCAGCTGGATCATTACTGCCTTGGTGAGGTAACTGGACGTGCCTCGTTTCCCCAGGGCTGGTGTGTTGTAGAAGGCCTCCATGTTGTCCTGTGGATTATATTTACCTTAGATAGTTATATATCACCACAGAATGCTAATGCAAGCACACATGGTATTCAAATTCATACTGGCTGCTGTGCTTTAAAATAGATCAAATATTAGGACTCTCAATCTTTTAATTGCTTGATATGCTGGTTAATAAAATGCGCATATGAAAATTTACTGTGAAAAGTCACCAAATGAAGATAATTCAAAGACATTACATAATTGTTGGAAGGTGAAAAGCAGTGAATAGTCATTATAAAAAAAGTGTATTTAATCAATATATTGTTTGTTTTACTAAAAAAAAAAACAGTACTGTTCAAAATAAGTTTTTTTTTCTTTTTTAAAGAAATGTATACTTTTATTTTGCAAGGATGCAGTAAATTGATCAAAAAACAGTAAAGGAACTTATAATGTTACAAAAGATTTCAAATAAATGCTGTTCTTTTGAACTTTCTATTCATCAAAAAATAAATAAATAAATCGCAGTTTTCTCAACTGTTTTCAAATCAGCATGTTGGAAATTATTTCTGAATGATCACGCGATGCATTGTTTGTTTTACTAAAAAAAAAAACAGTACTGTTCAAAATAAGTTTTTTTTTCTTTTTTAAAGAAATGTATACTTTTATTTTGCAAGGATGCAGTAAATTGATCAAAAAACAGTAAAGGAACTTATAATGTTACAAAAGATTTCAAATAAATGCTGTTCTTTTGAACTTTCTATTCATCAAAAAAAAAAAAAATAAATCGCAGTTTTCTCAACTGTTTTCAAATCAGCATATTGGAAATTATTTCTGAATGATCACGCGATGCTAAAAACTGGAGTAATGGCTGCTGAAAATTCGGCTTTGCCATCACAGGAATAAACTACATGTTAAAATATAAAATTGTAAAAAAAAATTGAAAATATTTCACGATATTACTGTTTTAATAGTATTTTGTTCAAATAAATGCAGCCTTGTTGACCGTAAGTGTTTTTAAAAACATTTAGGAATTTTATTTAACCCAAACTTTTGAATAGTAGTGTAGATTGATCCAAGCATTTGATAACATTAACTGAACTTAATTAAATCTGCCCTCACCTGTTTCTCAGATCCATCCAGTCTGCTGCGGTCTTTCTGAAAGTCAGCAAAGGTATCCTTAACTAAACGGTCCAAATCCACAGCCTCCTGAAACTCCAACTCTGGGTTTCTTTCCAGCACAATTGACACCACCATCAACAGCTGCATTCAGGTCATCAAAGACACAAACACAAACAACAGGCAAATGATATGTCCGATTAGTGTTATAAAACATGTTAAAGCTGTGGCAGGGACAAATTGTGCCTCACCTCCACAATGATCTGCCTGTACTCAGGCAAAACAATGTTCTTCAATGTGTCTTCCACCAACAGAGAAAAATTCATTTCATACATGGTCATATCTGATAGAGTAGGTTGCTGCAAACAAGTGAAAGATTGAAGTGGTCATCTCAAAATGCAGATATTCTGAACACATTTAAAATGATCCTTTAATGATGCAATTATTTATCATCTATTCAACTATGCTTAAGACTTCCAAAAAATGTTTAAATGTTACCTGAGGGAGATGTTTTCCTCCAACCATGATGCCATTATGTGTTCTCTCCAGGATTTGCCAAACACGGTCATAGAAGCCAAGAGGAGTGCGGTTGAGGGAGCCATCGATCTGACGTCTATTGAGCCATGATCTATGGAAATACCGAAGATTAAAATTAATCCTCAAAACCACTGCAATGGAGAAATCCTTGAACGCTAGCTCTGGAGCAGGATTCTTTTGGGAAAAAAATTATTTTTATTTTTCAAAATTTGGGGTCAGTATGATTTTTTTAATGCTCAACGAGGCTGCAATTATTTGATCAAAAATACAGTAAAAACAGTAATATAGTGAGATATTATAATTTGAAATAATTTTTTAAAATATACATTTAAAATTGTATTTTTTTTTTTTTGTATTTATTCACATAGATAGCCTGACAATGTGAATGTGTTACAACTGCATTATCAGAAGACCATATTCTTTTACTTGATAATTAACCTCAGCTGCCCAATTGAAAACTAGGAATAATCAAATGATGATAAACTGTATGCTACTATTGCAATTGGACACAACAGATAATTCAGTCTTGGCAGGTATCTACACTAACACACAGATGGCGGGCATCCTGCACCTGCCAGTCTGTTGAGGTTGGAGGACATCCAGCAGGAGCTGTTTGACATCACTAGGGGACATCTGGTAGATGTCCTGAGGTGGCATGTCCCCAGCACGAATCTTCAACTCATGCTTCATGGCTTGAACAATCCATCTGATTGAAAAATAGACACCAGAAACAAAGATTGTTGAAGGTAACCCATGTAAATAACTGACAGAAATGATCTATAGCAAAAGATATGATTATTTAATGACATGAGCATGTATTATTATTTAGGCTCATGCTGTGAAATGCTTGAAGGCGCACCCCACACGGATCTTCAGCATGCCACTGAACAGCTCTGGGTTGTTGGAGATGATCCAGCCAATGTGGATGACGAGCTCCTGCTGCAGCACGGCCTCTCGCTCGCCATGGGGGCTGCACTTGCTGTATATGATGTCTTTAATGACCCCTGGAGACAGGGGGTTAGAGATCACGATCTCCTCATGCCCAAACAGGCCAAGAGTCACCTGGTAAACTGTCGTCAGTCTGTATAATGATGAATGATTTCTCAGACATGCATTTTTAGTAGTTTATTTTTCTCTGAATGGGTTTTCATGTACTCAAACCAGGATTATTCACTTCAAAATGTATAAATCCAACCTGGTCTCATGTAAAAATGTAACTGTTTCATGATTTTGTATGAATTTGTACAATGTGATTTGGTAAACGATTTGGGTACTTTGTGATTGTCAAATTTTAGTGGAAAAAAAGTCACCACAAGACCTGAAAAAAATATGATGGCCCAGAAAAGCGACGTTACTTCTTGTAAAACATCTAGTATGATTTGTTAGCAGATGCCAATTGGGGCCAGATTTACTAAACAGGGAAAATTAGCACAAGAGCGCAATTTCAAAACAGACTGGTGAGGAAATTTCTGCAGGTGATTTACTGACAACGAGCAAACTAAAGAACATAGACGCAAATTAGCGTAGTCGCAAATAAGCAGAGCTGATGATCATCAGGTGTGGGTGATCTACTTGCGACACAGGTGCAAAATAGTTTAAGACATGCTTTTTATGGGTGTTAAATAATTGTGCAAATACCAGTAATTTGACGAGCGCAAACGTTAGTAAATATCGTTGCGTGACTCATTTTAATAATCTGGCCCTTGGTCTTGTGTTATATTTTATTTATGTAATGAAATGCATATATATTTTTTAAAGTGTGGATTAAGTATGTGGTGGCTTGCTTTGCATGATCTGCTGTTGTTTCTCCTTATAGTTCCCAGCAGACATCAATATTGCTCTGCTATGGCAATTTACTAGGGGTGGGACAATTTATCGATATGGCGATATATCGTTGTCCTTCTTCATGCGATACGAGAATCGATATCTGTATCAATATCGATAATTTACTACAATACAATACTACAATTTACTACAATATATTACTACAATAAGGCACTCTATATAGATTTCCCTGCTCCCAGCATCTAAAAAATGCGTGGAAATCGCGGCCGCGCCATTTCCACCTTCTTTCCAAAGAGCTCAGAGAAACCACGAACTGCGTTCTCTATGAAGATGGGGAAGCACGAGGAACCGAAGGATAAACAGATTTCCAGCCACTGTATTAGCTCTACTGCTCTATATATGTTTATGGAGATAAAAGGAGATGGAGATTAAAAAAAAAACTGCCCCTGAACAGCTATCAGCGTGGACTGTAGGCATCGATCACGTTATTATTGCAGAGCGCATATTGAGTCTGTGAGTAGCCTAACCTCTCCGCTCGGATCGCAGGTGAATTTCCCTCACTATAGGAGTC